ATTGCTTCATGGCATCTTAGGTACACGTAAAGTTAGCAACTTTACATGTTCAGATTGTCCCAGAAACCCATATCTATGATTTGGATGCATCGAAACTGATTAGAATCGGCTGAATAGAATCTGCATGCAAAGGACTCGACGAGTCGTTCTTCGGACTCGGCGAGTCCGGTCGCGACTCTTGGATTTCTTGTTCAGTAGTAGCGAGTCCGTTAGTGAGTGAAGTAAAGACCCAGTGAGATAAGACATGGATCTGAGTATAGAGGGGCTCGGCGAGTCTACGCCCTGACTCGGCGAGTCCAAGGCAATCTCCTTCCCTGCAAGAACAGACTCAACAAGTTGTTCATACGACTCGGCGAGTCGTAGACTGGACATGTTCATATGATGAAGGTGGACTCGACGAGTTGTTCATACAACTCGGCGAGTCGGATGAAGATTGACTTGATGTTATTATAAAAGGAGAACTCGTCGAGTCTTCGTTAAACTCGATGATTAGAGTCGGGAAGGGGAGTAGAAGGAAAGATAGGGACTCGACGAGTTGGCGGCCCAACTCGGCGAGTCAGGTGAACGGATTGTTGACTTTGACCAGGGGGTAAAATAATCACTTTACCCTAAGATTAGTTATCAGTGTCTGATTAAGTGTCTTTTGAGAATTGTAGTCGGGGAGTTACCGGAGCAGCAGACAGACAGTTCCCGAGCAGCATTTCAGCAGCCAGCCTTAGGAGGTGAGTTTCCTTCCAGTAGGAACGGGTCTACGGCCACAATGCCGGCCCGCTTAGTTAGCAGTAGTTCCGAACTTCGGTCCGATGCAGTAGTTCAGTGTGCTTGATGTCTTTGTGATTCAAGCATGTCTTTGTGTTATGTGTTCTGGACTTCGGTCTGATGCAGTATGCAATATATGTGTTTACGCTAGTAGTTGTGATTATGTTATGCTATGTTCAGTCAGTTCTGGACTTCGGTCTGATGCAGAGGGCAAGGCCCTGGTCAGTTCCGGACTTCGGTCCGATGAAGTTTCCGAGCTTCGGTCCGATGCAGAGGGCAAGGCCCTGGTTAGTTCCGGACTTCGGTCCGATGCAGTTTCCGGACTTCGGTCCGATGCAGAGGGCATGGCCCTGGTTAGTTCGGGACTTCGGTCCGATGCAGTTTCCGGACTTCGGTCCGATGCAGTGGGCAAGGCCCAGTAGTTGCTTTATATGTTATTGTATGGTATGTGGCAGTTTGGGGGAGCTCACTAAGCTTCGTGCTTACAGTTTCAGTTTTGGTTTCAGGTACTTCAGCTAGCAAAGGGAAGGGCTCAGGATGATGGCATGGCACACACCATAGTTTAGCCTGAGAGATTGACTCTGATATTTTGACATTATCTTGATACTAGTTTTGAATTGACAATTTATTATGACATTTGAGATACACGATTCATGGTTTCTATCTTTTGATGTTTGATATTATGGTTTAGTAATGCTTTCAAACAAAAATTTTTGGGTTGTATTTTTGGGATGTTTCAGTCTGATGAGAGATCAATGGATTATAGGCCACTAGAATAAATAGTTGTTGTAAGGCCTATGTTGTTTCTGTTTATGCTTTTGATCTGTATTGACAATGACATCCCGAGGTTTTTAATATAATGAAAATACACTTATTCGGACATGCTTTGATAAATTCTTTATCATGTTTTTGGGAACACATTTCGCAACATATTTCTTTAAAGGTATAATCTGATTTTCAAATAAAGCATAAACAAATCGGTCTTTTCTGGCCGTGAAATTGGGGATGTCACAACATTACCCGGAGTTATTCCCAGCAGCAGCAGCAGACTTCGAGGACGAAGTGTAATTCAAGTAGGGGAGATTTGAAATGCCCGAGTTGCTAGGTATTATCTTAATCAAATAATAATAATAATGATAATGTTATGAGAATGGTAGGGTCGTACGCAGGGCGTACATAGTGTACGCACGACCTACAAAGGTGAGGCGCGAAGCGGGGGAAGCCCCTGCTTATGCTGGGCGTACCCATGCATACGTTGGGCGTAAGCTGGCCAGATGCAAACACTAAATTTTAGTGTTTGCACCTTAAGTTCGTCCCAACCTTCATTCTCTCAGCCTCCACTGTCTCTAAAGTGTTAAACTCAAACCCTAAGCCTCTTGCATGCATTTTGAGTTAATCTTGAGCATTTTTGGTGATATTTGGTGATTTTGAAGAAGAAGGAGTTTGAAGAAGGAGTAAGAACGTGAAGAGGGCTTGTAGATCCAGATGTTTGACATCACTTCTGACTTATTGAGGTATAAAGCTTTAACATTGACCATTGCATGCTTAGATTTAGTTTTGGGGTGTTTTATGTTGCATTTTGGCTCCATAGTTGAGGTTTCTTGGGTTTTAGAAGTTCCAGTCCATATGAGTTGTCCTTTTAGGCTCTTGGAAGTGTTTGGAGCCATAAAAATCGGGCCTTGATGGTTTTGCCTCAACCAAGCAAGTGTTAGATCCCCATACATGCATGCAACAACATAAAGTTTATAACTTTATGGTTTAGGACGTCTTTAAGGGCCTGGATCTATGTTCTGGACGTTAGGACTTAACTGATTAAGTCACAATGAAGCTTCTAAGGTGGCTGGCCGCTGGGCGTACCCCTGGTACGTTGTGCGTACTGGGTCAACCTCCCGTATCTGGTCAAGGGCAGCGTATGTTGGGCGTACGTGCCAAGTACGCCACGCGTACACATGCAGTGGGTCAAATGTGGTTTTTAGGCCTCAAGCCCACCTGTGGATTAAGGCCTCTGGGCCTAGGCCTAGGATTTATGGTATTGAGCCTTATTGGGCCCTAAGGATTAGTTGGATGGACTTGGACATTTTAATTTGAAAGTTGGGCCTTGGAAGGAAGAGGCCCAATAGGGCAAAGATTAGGGAAAATTTTCCATATGTCATGAATCAGGGTTTGGGCCTTGGGGACAGGTTTAGATCTAATGTCTAATTAGGAAGCTTGTTGTGCTATATGGAGAGGAGTTCTGAGTCGTCCAAGGAGTACGATTTGACATTTGCAGTTGAGGTGAGTCTCCCTTTGTGAATGTTACAGGTCGAAGGCACCAAGGCCGACCCTCCTTTTATTGTATAGTATGATGGTTGTTTGTGTGATAATTATCATTTTTCGCATATTGCTTGATGATCATGTGATTTACGTGTAGTGGTAGGGGTGAAATAGACGCGGTATCCGGTTGGAATGGACCGAAGGGGCAGGTTATGCACCCAGATATGCTCGACATTATCCGGTTGAAATAGACCGAAGGGGCAGACCGAGCACCCAGATATGCTCGACAGTATCTGGTTGAAATAGACCGAAGGGGTAGGCCCGCACCCGGATATGCTTGGCAGTATGTTTATTATTGGTATGTGGTATGGTGGGGAAAATCACTAAGCTTTGTGCTTACTGTTTTAGTTTGTGTTTCAGATACTTCCGACTCAAAGGGGAAGGGGCCGACTTGATCGCGTCGCATCACACTATGATTTTCCGCAGTAGTGATTTTGGGACTTATGCTCTGATAATGTTTTTCCCACGAATTGTCTTGATTATACACTATAACTATTTTGTGTTTTCGTGATCTCGGAATCAATGATGTTTATGTTTGTGATTTGGTAAACTTAAAAATGAAATTTTTGAGTCGTATTTATGGGATGCTACACAATCCTTAGAAATGGGTTGTATATCCATAATGTATTTATTGCATCAAAACCTCATATATGATCATAGATCCATCTACCATAGTTTAAAAACTTCAAAATCCCCAATATGAAATATAGGGTTCATGGCTAGATTTTTACCTAAACTCATAATTCACCATGGGAGTGGTGACTTGAGCTTAGAACCATATCAACCACACTAGGATGGTTAGAAAATAAAACCCTAACCATTAAAACTTGCTAAACGGATTTAACTCCATAGCCAAAACCCTAGCTTGATTTTTAAGCAAGTTAGGAAGAATTATACCTCAAGTGATTCAAATACTTGTTGATGACTTCAATCTCTCACTTGAATTTCAAACTCCAACCTTAGAGCTCTTTTTGAAACCTCAAAAATCGTCATCCCCTCCTCTTTCATTCCTCTTATGATGAGATATTGCTCCTTAAGCATGATTTTGATAAGCGAAATGCTTGAGTATTCACTAGATGACTATGATCTATTGCTTCAAAATACCATTCGAAGATGGAATAGCCATATATAGAGATCCTAACAACTCAACATCATGTTAAATCTTAAATGAGGACAAGGTGATACATCTTATTTGCAAAATTTTGATTTCTACCCTAAGAATGCATATTTTGCCAACACAATCTCATTTAACATACTTGTTACACTTAACTTTGAAAGTTCCACACCTAGTCCTTCCTGATCCATAAAATGATTTTTCTAGTCCAACTTTATTTAAGTTGGTCACCACTTGGTCAACAACGCTTTCATCCTTTTGACAATTTAAGTTCCCTTATCTCCAAATGTTGTAATTTGGACATTTAATCTTCTAACACTTATACATTAATTAAATTTTCATAAACTGTTGTTATTTAAATTATTCTAACTAGCTTATTTATTTATATTTAATTTATTAAAATATATTATTTAATTCAATTAAAGATTCTAATCCCAAAAACCTTGTGTTACACGTTCACCCAATAAAGAAGGCGTATTACTATGTGTTCGATAAATTATTTTTTTGCCACCTTGTCAAATATATCACTTATAACATTTTAACTAGTTCCATCTTATCATAATCAAAATTGCAAGAGTACCATATGCTAAATAGCAAGACAATAATAGTACAATGATAAAATGGGAAAATTAAAAAGCATTAATTTTACGGGGGAAGAATAATCCAAATACCATGAGCCTCTAGCTCAAAAAAATACTTTCAAAGGAACACTGAATTATATTGATGAGCCCATAAAGAGAATCCCCATCTCCCACGTCACCTCCCGTTGTATGAGGACTATAGGAAGAGGCCCCATTCCAAATCGAGTTTGTAGCTACTCTCTGTATCTGCATAGGCTGAGATACTTGAAAGCTACCTTGTTGTGTATACCATTGCCCTAGAAAATAGAAATTGTAATATGTTTAGCATAAAAATAAGAAGATATAGCTCATTGCCAGGAAAAAAATGTTATATAGTTCTTCACAACCTGGTTGAAAATACTGGATTGGCCACCATGTCCGTGTCCTATTTTATGCAAAGCACAGAGCGAGTGAACCCAGAAATTGCAGCCCTTACACTCGTAAGCAAGACCTTGAATAGCTGTACGGCAGATTTGACAAAATTTGGTCTTGTCGAGCTGGTGCTTGTCGACAAAAAGACTCAGTGGGTGAAGGTGGATCTGAGTTGAAGGAAGCCAAGTGGGAGAGTCGGCGCAGTATTCAAGTAAATCAAAGTTACAGGTGCTGCAATTGAATCGCTTTCCGGTTCCAATGACGTAACATCCATTACATCTGTAGTATGTATTCGCCGTGAATTCGGTGAGATTGTGAGAGAGATGTAAGAAGTGTCGGAGGCCTAAGTAATGCAAAACACAAAGAGGATGGATCCAGAAGTCGCAGTTTTTGCACATGTATGCAAGACCTTGAATTGGGTTACGACAGATTTTACAAGGTTTGGTATGGTTGACTTGAGGATTGTAGTCCACAAGACTCATTGGGTGGGGGTGGTTTACAGTAAAAGGGAGCGAAAGGGGACATTTGGCGCAGTACTCGTGTAGGTAAAAATTGCAGGGTGTGCAAGTGAACCTTGTGCCCGTTCCATACATCTTGCACGCGTCACATATGTATATGGTATCTGCTATGTGTTCGGTGAGTTGGTGAGACGGATGCTTGAAGTGTGTGAGTGCTTTTGTTGACATCAGCATCTTCTTAACTGATTTGAGTTTGTGTTATGCAAAATTTATGGTGTCTAAGAGCATGCCCTTTATTCGTATATCTAGAAAGAAAACGAGGGACGATTTCAAAAGTTTGGCTGTCTACATCGATCACTACTTGGGTACTAGGTTTTTCAGTTTTCTTACGCTCCAAATATTTAAGATCAACCTCATAAATTCATAAATTGCTTTTAATAAAGACTACTTGTCTACATCGATCACTACTTTTATATTGACTTCATTTATTTAATAATTACGCCATATGCACTATTAAACATCAAAATATCATATTTATCCATCCTTATTTCAAACTATCATATTTACTTTTTATAAGTTTTGAAAAGGAATATATACACTAAAGTCCCAATATTTTCATCGATTTGACAAGAAAGTCCTAAACTTTATTTTTTTTACAGTAAAGTCCAAATTACCGGCAATTTTTTGACACTTTTATCCTTTTTTCCCGGTTAGCGGTAATTAGGACTTTTTTGTCAAAAAATAAGTTTAGGACTTTCTTGTCAAATCGTCAATTAGGACTTTACTGTCAAAAAAATAAAGTTTAGAACTTTCTTGTCAAATCGTTGAAAATATTGGGACTTTAGTGTATATATAAATTTTTTTGTTAGAAATTTTAATGGTATGATACTCTTTAAGCATAAGAGTTCTTGAAACATTTTCTAGTCAGCTAGATCCTATTGAAATCCTTAACGTTTGCTTCTTGTTAAATAGTTTTTTAAATCTCAACAAACCAACATTGAAAAAAAAATGGAGATAATAAAGAAAGAAATAAATAATCAGGGTTGTGTTGGCGTTTTGCAGTCCCAAAAATGGAGAAATAAAAAACCGAAAAACGAAATTGTCCTTTTTTTTCCTTCTCAACATTCACACCCTTTTGACTAGGCATGTGTTGTTTGTGTTTATATAATCTGTTCCCACTTTTTAGTTCAAGATTTGGCGGCGAAGCAAGAAGAAACTTTTACAAGGGTGAAAAGACTTGTAAAACTTTCTTCTTACTTCGCCGCCAAATCTTGAACTAAAAAGTGGTGATAGATTATACAAACACAAACAACACATACCTAGTCAAAAGGGTGTGAATGTGGAGAAAGGAAAGAATGGCAATTTCATTTTTTTCGGTTTCTTGTTTCTCCATTTTTGGGACTGCAAAAAGCTAACACAACCCTGGTTCTTTCTTTTCTTTCTTGATTATCTCCATTTTTTTCAATATCGGTTTGTTGAGATTAAAAAAACGATTTAACGAGAAGCAAACATTAAGGATTTCAATAGGATCTACCTGACTAGAAATGTTTCAATAACTCTTATACTTAAAGAGTATCATACCATTAAATTTCTACCAAAAAAATGATATATACACTAAAGTCCCAATATTTTCAACGATTTGACAAGAAAGACCTAAACTTTATTTTTTTGATAGTAAAGTCCTAATTGACGATTTGACAAGAAAGTCCTAAAGTTTATTTTTTTGACAAAAAAGTCCTAATTACCGGCTAACCGGGAAAAAAAGGTAAAAGTGTCAAAAATTGCCGGTAGTTTGGACTTTACTGTCAAAAAAATAAATTTTAGGACTTTCTTGTCAAATCGATGAAAATATTGGGACTTTAGTGTATATATTCCTTTTGAAAATATCAAATTTGCCCAAATCATTTATTTAACAATTTTAAACATTTTATAATCATTTTAAATACTTATTTTTTATCAAATGACTCTTATACACTCTTATAAATCTAAGTTTGAAATATAATCTATATCCTAACTTTCAAAATATCATATTTACCCATTTATCATTTTATAATCCATTATTCTCCAAATTTAAAACATCATAAATTATATTTTGGATGGGATGGAATCAACCAGTATGATTCATTATTCTCTACGGTGACTTTTTTTGTTTGTTTGCCTGCCTAACGGATACGAAGACCAAATTATATTGTCATATGAAAGTTACTATCTTGTATGCTAATCTACATTCTCTGGTTATCAATATGGAGATTTCACCTAAAATTCTTCCAATTGATTAACTTTTGATCCCCTTGATTTTAGTGCCCAAATTTACCTGATGTTGTATGCCTAATATATATATATATATATATATATATATATATAATATATATATATATATATATATATATATATATATATATATATATATATATATATATGCTTAGATTATTCTATTCAAAGTAATTATTGTATTATTGTATGCATAAATATGGGCCAATTAATTTTACTTATTTTAAGAAAGTGATTAATACATATTATTGAATTAAATATAATTGAAAAATATAATATAATTTACTTACAAGGGTATTTTAGTCAATTAATATACATTTAATAAAGGAAAATTGCATATTTTAAGGGATCATAGATTCTATTAATTTTAAAAACCCGATTTTACAAATTATAATTCTTTTAATTCGGAGATTCTGATAGAATATGTTTATGAGTATATTCAAAAATAAAAATATTCTTGAACTATAAATATAAAAATATTCTTGAACCTATTTCTTGATCATGACTTTAAAAACTTCTTGTAGAACAACAAATTCTTGAACAATCAATTGAAGAATAAAAACGAAAAATATATTATTTCTTATACAATACAGGTAACAATTGTTAAGAATTACATTTATTGTTAAAGAATAAAACTAAAAAAACTTTCAAAACGGGAAAGAAAAAACATCAAAATCTAACAACGACACTAATACATTCTAAAAGAATAATGTTGCTTAGAATCACTTTCAATTTTGTGGTCCGTTCTTCAAGCATCAACTTCTGTGAAAACAAAACTAAATTGTAGTTTAGATTCCAATAATGCATTAGCAAATGAAAAATAAAGAAACTAAATTTCTTTGGAAAAATATGTGGACTTGTGAATTGCACCAAAACCAATAACCAAGAATTGTAGAACATGCATAAATCAGTGAGAAAATATCCATACTCCATTCCAACAGAATTAGAATTCGTGATTCCATTCCAACAGAATTGGAATTTCGTGATTCCATTCCAAAAGAATTGGAATGGCACCAATATCATCTATTGAATCATCTACAGAAACAAATTGATTTTTATCATATAAGAAGAAGTAAATTTGATATGAAAATAGTGACAATATCATCCATTGAATCATCTACAGAAACAAATTTGATATGAAAATAGCATCAATATCATCCATTGAATCATCTACATAAACAAATTGATTTTTATCATATAAGAAGAAGTAAATTTGATATGAAAATAGTGACAAACTACCTTCACTTTGTACTTTACAGATTTCTTACCCATCACCGTTAACAACCTTCAAACTCCCAAAAAACATCACACTTCTCCATCCTTTATCCCACCTTCATCACCAACGAATCTACCTTAAACAGCCACATATGAGAACCCAAATCACAGCAGCCAATCGAAACCACCCTTATTCCTCCCCTTGTCTCGTGAAAACTGCCACCACCGAACCACTCAGTACCACCTTATACCACTTTCCAGCCACCACCATCACCAAACACCCAACCTTATAAGTCCATTAACCTCTGCCAAACCACCAACATTCATCAATTCTGCCAATAAAAAATATAAGAGTGTGGTGCTATTCGAATCAGAAATAGAGGAGGAAAAGGGAGACAATTACGTCCGATCAATCAGCAAGATTAAAGGGCTGTTAATTTCATCGATCAATTGGAGAAGAGAGAAGGGAGCTGCAATCATTTGGCTTCTGTCGACCGGAGGGAGGAGACGCGAAGAAGAGGAGGTGTGATTTTGGGAGGTGTCGATCGGATTTGAGAAGTGAAGAAGCAAAAAACGATATTGGCTTCAATTTAGGGTTTTGAATCTTGATGCCGATTGAATGTTAGAAATATATATGTGCTTCTTGCGATTTACTAGGAATACAGCTAATATCCAATTATATATCTATTTTACCATAATTAACTAATAATAAGATTACTATAATACCCTTATATTATTTATTAAATGATTTGATTTACCTAAAATCTGATTGGTGCATACAATAACACAATAATTACTTTAAATACCTAAACCTAGCTCTCTTTCTCTCTCTCTCTCTCTCTCTCTGTGTGTGTGTGTATATATATATATATATATATATATATATATATATATATATATATATAGGCTTAGGTTATTTTGTTTAAAGTAATTATTATGTTATTGTATGCATAAATGTGGGCTAATCAAATTTACTTATTTTAAGAAAGTGATTAATATATATTATTGAATTAAATATAATTGAAAAAACCGTCATAATTAATTACAAGGGTAATTTAGTCAATTAATATAGATGTAATAAAGGAAAAATACATTTTTTAAGGGATCATAGATTCTATTAATTTTAAAAATCCGATTTTACGAATTATAAATCTTTTAAATCGGACATTCTGACAGAATATGTTTATGAGTATATTCAAAAATAAAAATATTCTTGAACCATAAATAATAAAAATATTCTTGAACCTATTTCTTGATCATGAATTTAAAAACTTCTTGTAGATTAACAAATTCTTGAAGAATAAATTGAAGAATAAGAACAAAAAATACATTATTTCTTATAGAATACGAGTAACAATTGTTAAGAATTACATTTATTGTTAAAGAATAAAACTAAAAAAACTTTCAAAACGGGAAAGAAAACATCAAAATCTAACAACGACTAATACATTCTAAAAGAATAATGTGGTCCGTTTCAATTTTGTGGTCCGTTCTTCAAGCATCAACTTCTGTGATTCCAACAGAATTGGAATTCGTGATTCCATTCCAACAGAATTGGAATTCGTGATTTCATTCCAATAGAATTGGAATCTCACCAATACCTCTGTGATTCCATTTCATTATGGTTTTCAGGACATTACTACATTCAAACCCAAAGGAAAAAGTGTTTCCTTTTCACAATAGATGTTGTCACATGGATTACAGTCAAGAAATACAAGAACAATCTTGTTCTTGCCCTTATGTACCCA